ATATATATATATATATATATATATATATATATATATATATATATATATATATAAACTTCACTTTATCTATAGTACCAATATAACAAATGTTATCCTTTAACCACTATGTGGCAGTATGTCCTAATAATATAATAACAAATAATTGGCAGGAAGTCTGGGAAAGAGCAGCCGTACAAGGCGTATTCAGAACTATTTAGTAAACCATACCCGAGGTCAGCTTTTTTTTCCTGAATAACTTACATTCTCTGGTGATGAGGCTTTGAAAGTCGATTGTGACTGTAACCCACATCGGCTGGCCGTCATCCTCTGGCCTGAAACCCCACACACTGACATTCATGGCCTTGGTGCCTGGCTCTGAGGCCAAGCCTGCAAAGAAGAAGGGCTGCTCTGTGAAGTTATATGACTTCCAGCACCGGCCTTCATCCGTGGAGAATCTGATGAGGGAAGTCAGCTGCACAGTTTAGTCACACATCATTTTCTAAACTTAAGTGAAAAGGAAGCTAGCGGTAGTATTTTTAATTACTTGATGGTCTTGACTTGTCTGTCCCGGTGGGCCTCCACAGCTACTATGAGACCCCCAGAGTCTAGTATGCTGTAGTGGTGAGGGCCCTTAAGGGTCCCTCTCCAGTTATATCCTCCATCTGAGGAAACAAACACGTCCGGGTGCTGCGATAACGAAAGAGAATCACCTACCGTGCCTGATGGAAAAAACAGATACTGATTAGGTTTTAAACTAATATTCCCAATAAAGGGGCTATGATGTGAAGTTACCATGAGCAATGACGAGACCGATCGCAGTTGGCTCAGAAAGAGCTAGCATTGGAACTAAATTGTTGTAACGACTGTGTTCTCCATGAATATGAAGGTTACACTGTTTAAAATGAGCAAAAAAATATTCATATGAATTAGACTTTTTAAATATATATAAAAAAACTGGAATTATTTAGTACTTTTTGAATAAACTTACACGCTTGACATTGCCCGGACAGTTTACATTCTCCGGTTTCTTCAGTGGCCTCCATGTTCCTCCTCTGTTGAAGGAAATGACAGATCTTATTCGGCCATCTGCAAAGACACAAACCTTTAAAATCAGGATTTGTTTTTTGATTTAAGTCAAATTATTAAACTATAAACTCACTGATGCCTAAAGTTTGACTCTAGGAGCTCAAAAAATTAAGTTATTTATTGTGTAATTAGCAAGTACAAAACCATGCAAATATGTAAAACCACAACAATTTTTAAAATGTATTTAAGGAGTTAACATTTCCTGTTATCATTTAGAGATCCTGAACTTTTCTTTTTCAATAAGGCCCATCTGTTTTTCATTAATTTTATCTGATTTGTCAAGGGTAATGGTGTTTGATGTTTTTTCTATAGTCAGAAAGAATAGACCAAAAGTAATAGCAGTTTCTAGTCATGTTTTAATCACAACTAAAAACATGAAAAGTGCACAAAAAATGCAAATGAAAAAGACTATATTTATATTTTAATCTGTTTGCTGAACTTGTGCAAGATGACGACATTGTTACATTTATGTTATTCTGTTGTTTTCTTAGTAGTTATTAAGTGCTTAATGACGAGGCACCAGAACACACTTCTTGGTCATTTGTAATTCAATTAGAGGAACACTAGATGGGAGTAAATCTTACTCATGGAGGCTTTAAGGGGCAGCTGTGTGTGATCCTACACACAAAAAGATCAGGTCTTTTGTGTATTTGTTCCTGTTTATATATATATATATATATATATATATATATATATATATATATATATATATTCATCTACAATACGTTAATTACCTTTAAATGATTTTTTGATGTATGGTGAAGGAAGGAAGGAAGGAAGGAAGGAAGGAAGGAAGGAAGG